GAAGTATTTCAATTGAATTGTTGGAAAAATATGACTCAATTCATCCAGTCAACGGTACAACTGCCATGCACAAAACATTACAAATTATGTAGATCTGTTACTGGCTTCAATATTTTCATTCTATAACGAATTAATTTCAAACAATAGACACCACCCGTTTATTGTCAAATTTTGAACTATTGTAGAGCGCCGTGGATTTCGTACGGCAAAATTCAGTACTAATTGGTGTGATTTCGTGGTATTTCACAATATGTCGAAATCACTTACGGCTATTTACAGCTCAATCACACCAATAAGTACTGAATTTTGCCGCACGAAATCCACGTCGCCCCACAATTTCACACTTCGTTTTCTGTATACAATCAATGCGAGATTATAAGTGTGTGATAGACACCAAACTCGATACCTAGAAATAAACGTTTATATATTTTTATTTTCATTTGTTTTAATTTTATGTACATAAATACAGGAATTTTTTTTTTTAGTTTTTGGACTTTTTTTTTAGATAGGTTAACATGCAATTCAACTGTGAATGCATTTTATGAAACTAATCAATGAATTCAAATTCAGAGCATAAGACATATTGAAAGTAAAATGTGCAAAATAAAGTTATGTAATAGCCACTTGATGGTTGTCTTTAGTTGGCGGTTCAGCAATGATATGGTCAATTTTGTTAATCGAAAATTGAACGCTAAAACGTCACGACAAATGAGAGATTATTGAAGGTATTGCTAAAACGAAAAAAACGATCATTGTCAAAGAGCCAATAAAATTAATCTTCTCTGTGTTTTTGGTGGATAAATACATGCATTGAATCATTCGTTTAAATTCATACTTTGAATCGCGGTATTTTCATTACGTAGCACCAGAGTACGCTAAAGTTGGAAATTAGATATGAAATGTCAAACTGTCACCGCTGAACTGGAATTTGCTTGCTTTGGATAGCACGTAGTGTTCAATGCCGCCAATTTGTATTGTGCACCAAACCAATTGATTTGTATGTGTGTGCGTTAGACGCCATCGTCTGTGCGACCGAGCATCAGTTTGGTTTTCATTCAGTTCTGTCAACGATTAGCAAACAGCATTCTGAGTCATCGAACATAAACAGCGCCCGAAATATTAAACAAAATTCAACATGTCGTCGCCATCAACATCAGTGAACGTTCTATGGAAAAAAGATGAATCACCGAATTCGGATTCATACGTTAATATTTTCAATGTCAAAGGACACGAAGTGAGTTTGCAAATGGTCAAATTGCAATATGCAATGTCCAAAGCATCATTTAACTACACAAGAGACGAAGCGTTCGCAAAATGTCTCCGTGAATGTGGCAAAGACTTTTTCAAAGACGGCGATTTCTTCAAAGCAATGTTCACATTTAACTGTGGTTTGACGAAAATCACAAATGGTTCAGAGGAGCTGGGAATTGCGTATGCAAATCGTTCGATGTGTTTTCTGCGATTGGACATGCCGGAAAAGGCTCTGGTTGACATTGAATTGGCTCGAAAATCGAATTATCCGGCAAATTTGATGCATAAATTGACCGTTCGCGAAGACAAATGCAAGCATTTGTTGGAGGACGAGGAATTCAAAGCGAAGCGATTCAAACTACGTGCACCAATGTTGAGCTTCAAGGAACACGAGTCATTCGCTGGCGTCGCTGACTGTTTGGAAATTCGCAAGAACGACGATTTTGGTTATCACGTCGTCACAACGCGTGATCTCGAGATTGGGCAAACAGTTCTGGTGGAGCCATCGTTCGCAATCACACCCAAACGATTCGAAAACATCGGCCGTGATCGCTGCTGGAATTGCTACAAAGATATGCAGAATTTCATCGCATGCAGCAATCAGAATTATATTGGCAGTCTTTATTGTGACGCGAATTGTGAGGAACAGTCATTCCATCGATACGAATGCGGTTTACCGAATCTATCTCGTAAAGAAACAACCGATTTAGTTCAGAAAATTCTCCACAAGCTCACTGTCACATTCCCCGACATCGATTTATTGATGAAGACTGTCGAAGCGTTAGTCAACGACGAGGAAGTCACCGATTTGTCGAGTATGGAGCAGAAAAGATTTTGCTCAATATTCAAGCTGATTCACAAGCATGAATTGAAGCACAATCAACAAGCGAAACTGTTGATTCCATCGGCTAATACCTTTGTTATGGTCATGGACATTCCAGACTTCAAAGAGATATTCAAAACCGAAGAGCAATTACGATTTTTGCAACATTTAATCCTGCATTTGCACCATGTCACCGAACACGCATTCGATTTACACGAATACAGCCCAAACGGCAGCAATGAACCAATCATGGCCCACACATTTCTTCACTATGCAAGTGCCGTGTACCCGTTCGCATGTTACATGAAACATTCCTGCGTGCCCAATGTCTTCTGGTATTCAATCGACGATCGACTCATCGGCAAAGTGATTCGGCCCATCAAGACGGGGGAACAGGTGTTCAGATCGTATTTGTAAGTGTAATTCATTCCATTCGATAGATTTGTTCGCAGATTTTATCATTCAAACATTCTATCGGACTTTTGTTTGAGGAAATCCGATACAGAATTCGAATATTTACGTTGAGATTTTGAAAACGATTCAAAGCATTCATGAATTTGTTTCTTTCAGGCCAGCAACTAATACCTATCAATCCGAAAAAGATTTCGAAATTGGACCAATCGAAGAGCGGTACAACTTCGAATGCCAATGCTCACATTGTTCAGACGAACCATCTGAAAATGTCAACTATGTGCGTGATCAACAGTGGTTTGAAGCAATGGCACCGATGGAAATGAAGCTGAAAGATTTCCGAAAGCTGAGTCGCGAAGAAATCGACGAATATGAAAAGAAGGCAGTTGAACTGGTGAAAAAGTACAACGACATCTCTCCGTGTTCAATCCAGGACAATTTGATTCTCATTTGGATTTTGCTGTCGCAATATTTCTAAATAGTCACAGTCATTTTGTCGTTGCTTGCAACAAATCTTTTCTGGCTCAACACAAACATTCCTACACATATAAATAGTAAATTCTAAAACATAAGAAAGAAAAAATCATATAAAAATATTCACATCAGTTTCAAAGCGATAAAAATATAGATTTTCGTAACCATTTAAATTAATCAACAGCAAAATTATCGTTAATCAACTAAAAATAGAACAAAATGAAATCAAATGTGGTTCATCAAACCAAATCTTCATCAGTTGGAATTTTTTTTTTTCAATAAAAAGTGTACATTTCTTGCGCATTCATCATTTTCAACAACATTTCAAGCAGAAAAAAAATCGCACTCGAATTCAAAGTTTCATCCATTTGGTATGCCAAAAATAGCGTAGTTGCTCGCACATTGTTGTTTTTGCCCCACCACAACGAAACGTCAAACATTGACATTGAACTGAAATCTACGCATTTTTTGTGCAGCTTTGCCGCTGTCACATCAATTAGCATCGTGTACGTGTTAGAGATAGACGCTTCTCTACGCTTAGAATCGAATTTTGTTGTATCGCGCAAAAATAAAATTGTTCGCTCGATTTTCTGTCGCCAAAAAAATCAGTTTGAGAATATTCATCATTGTTTTTAATCGCATAAAAAATGTCATCGCCGTTAAATGTTTTGTGGAAAAAAGAAGAACAATCAAATTTGGGTTACATCGATATTTTTGCTGTTGTTGGGCATGAGGTGAATTTAGCCGAACACGACAAGGCTGTTGAACAAAGTGGACCAAATGGAAAGAACAATGTGAATGCTGCTGAACATCAAGCAAAAGGTAAACAATTATTCGAGGACGGCGATTACATTGCGGCAATACGCGAACTGAACAATAGTTTGGCATTGTACACCGCTGATTCACCAGAGTTGGGATCGGTATACGCTGAACGCTCAAAATGTTTTCTTCAATTGGATTTGCCTCAGAAGGCATTGATCGACATTGAATTGGCAAAAAAATCGAGCTACACGCACGAACTAACTGCTCGCGAAGATAAATGCAAGTATTTGTTGGAGGACGAGGAATTCAAAGCGAAGCAATTCACTGGTCATGAACCAACGCTAAGCTTCAATGAACACGAAACATTCGCTGGTGTCGCTGGCTGTTTGGAATTTCGCAAAAGCGACGATTTTGGTTATCATGTCGTCACAACGCGTGATCTCAAGATTGGGCAAACAGTTCTGGTGGAGCCATCGTTCGCAATCACACCGGCTCTGTCATCGGCCAGTCGTTACAGTCGATGCGGCGGCTGTTACAAAGAGCTAGAGAACTTTGTGCCAAGCAAGATAAGCAGTTTCTGTGTTTATTGCAACGGAAATTGCATCAAAAATTCATTGCATGAAGAAATGTCGATGTCAACACTCAAGGAAACGACTGAGTTGGTTGAACCAATACTGCAGAAAATCGTCAGTGCGTTCCCAGATATCGATGTGTTGGTTAAGACGGTCGAATCATTACAAAAAGGGGAAGATGTGACTGATTTGACAAGCACCGTTCAGAAGCAGGCCTGTTCATTGTTTCGTCTCATCAACAAACACGAAATATCGACCGATCAACAGTTTAAACTGCGTCCAGCCGCTGATACATTCGTCACGGTCATGAAGAAGCCGCATTTTGGGCGAATCTTCAACACAGAAGAACGACAACGTTTTCTGAAGCACTTGATTCTGCACTTGCATAACGTTACGGAATACGCCATCGATTTATATGAACTGCAGCAAGAAGACATCGATGAGCCCATCAGAGGACACACATTCGTGCATTATGCGACTGCAATCTATCCGTTTGGGGGCTACATTAAGCACTCTTGTGTTCCGAACGTCATTTGGTTCTCCGTCGACGACCGTTTGATCGCCAAAGTGATTCGGCCCATCGAAAAAGGCGAACAAATCCTTCGATCGTATCAGTAAGTAGCACGATTCACACATTTTCAAGAAGTAAAATAAACATGTTTTCTGTCAAATTTTCCATCCATCCAATTCGAATTCATTTTAATTCCTAAATTTTCATCTCTGTTCGATTGCAGCCCAGGCACCCATTCATTCCAATTGGACAACGACTTGGAAGAGAAACACGTTGAGATCCGATACAAGTTCAAATGCAATTGCTGTCGCTGTTTGGACGATGAACCGTCATCACCACCAACCAAGCTCCACGTGGATCAAGATCCACTTTGGGTCGAAGTAGCAGCAGTGATTGATATGACGGTCAAAGATTTTTGGGCATTATCGTCGCAAGCGATTGAGCAATACGAAAAGAAGGCCATCGAATTGGTAGCAAAGTACAACAGTGTCTATCCGAATCATGATGTATTGTTCATGCGCGACAACTTAATGCTCATCTGGATTTTACTCGCACAGACTCAGAAGTCTCGTTAAATTTTGTTTCATTCATTTTGCATTAGATCATTGGCATTTTATCAGATTTTATAGCCGAGACAGTGCATTAGTTCTCTTTGATTTTATTCATAAATTCGAAATGGAATATTGATTTCTTCTTAAACAACTAACAGAGATTTGCTAATATTTTTCTAATATATTCGTGTAGATTTTTCTTGCCCAGAGGCAGTAAAATCACAAGAGCCTTACCTTATCATACACATTTTAATTTGATTACAGCCATTTTTAATTAATTGTAAATTCAATTTCTTCTCTTTAAATTTTGATTCTTTTCATCGATAAATAAAATAAATAGTGTTCATACTTTGAAATTGTTTTGGACATTTTTTCGTTTGGAGTTTTAATCGAAGCTGATGAAAAATATCCAAAAGAGGTAAGATTCTTGATTGAAACGAAGCTTCCCATTTGGTTGGATTGAAACTTTTTTGACTGCAACTGAGACACTATTGTGAGTTTCGTAAAGTTGTCCAGAGGAAATGTCGACGATCATTTTAGCAGCGTCTTACATCCTATAGAAAACAGATACGAGGAAAAAACAACAATTCGATCATACAAATGAAATTTTATTTTTGCCTTGTTGGGTGTTAATCTTGATGAATTGAAACAAAGAGATAAACATTCAAACATTTTCATTCGAATTCTTTCCTTAAAAAGAAATTCGATTCGATTTTGTTGCTTAATATTCTATTGCAAATAGAGTTTGATTCGAATTGTTGATGTGGAATCGGTTGTCACCGCAATATAATCGAAACTGAAAACTCATTTGGTGGATTTTTTGTTGGCGTTGTGAATGTTGTTCGAGTGCGTTCGTAAATTGGCAGCCCATGCAAAACGTTTCATGCAAATCTCACAGCGGGACGGCTTTTCTCCAGTATGTGATCGCATATGACTTTTCATCAATGATTTACCATAAGTTTCAAACTTTCTACAGATATGACATTCATACCGACGGTTTTGACATTCTTTTTGATGAGCTATTTTCTCAGTCATCAGCGAAAATCCTTGGAAACAACCATAGCAATGGAACGGGAACACATCGGTGTGAGTTATAGAATGCCTCCTTAAGTGTGTCGCATCTATGAATTCTTTTCCGCACCGATCGCATGAATATGGCCTTTCGCCGGTGTGAATTCGCTTGTGCCGGATCAAATTCTGACTGTACATACTAGAATATGGGCAAACAGAACATCCAAATCGTTTTTTCGGCTTCAACTGTTTCGCTGCAGACGTTTCACCATCCATATGGATTGCATTCGCTGACATTGTTGAACCCGATGTCGAATTTTGGTTGGCTTCTGTGCCGTGCACATTTGTGGTGTTGCCATTTACTTGCTGCTCGATTGGTACACGCATCCGTTGATGGTTTCCAAAAGCAATTAATGGAAGATCGTCATCTGTTGCTTCCTCCATTAGCTCTGTATCATGTTCCCCCTCAACGTAATCTGTACCTCCAATGTAGGATGCAATCAAATCTGGTGACAATCTTTGAAGCTCAATGACAAGCGATTGACCTTGGAATACACTGGTATTTGCAGATGTTTTTTGGTTGGCTGTGTGGTTGTCGCCTTGAATCAGCTCATTCTCCAACAATCCACTGAAACCGACTTCATTCCGTCCTAAAGCTGAGCTACTTGCCACAGTAAGATCAGCACTTTCATTTCTGGTTGATCGTTTAGCCTGGTCTTCTCTTGGCGAACCATTGCTCAGTCCAACCGTGTCTTCGTCATCAGTAGAGTCAACGATTTCGATTGGGTCCGATTCAGTATTCGTTTCTTCTATTTTGATGTCCTTTGGATCGAGACACTGATTCACCACACTTGTCAAATTGGCGCTAGAGCTGCCATTGACTCGTTCTTCCAACAATGTGACTTTGAATCGTTCGTAAATTGCTTTTATGCTGGAAGGCAAGTAGAATAGATACTTGATATCACTTTGTCTACATTCAGATGGGGCCTTTGGGAATAATAGCAATTATCTGAACTCACCGGCTATTTGAAGCAGCCAAAAAGTAATCTTCAAATTCGCGATTGAATTGCAAACCACAGGTGCGGGCTGACATCTTCATATTGGTCAAGGATTGCTCAATTTGTCGCTCACATCCAGCCAGCATTTTATCCATTTCCTCTTTCCAGCTCATGATCGAATTCATCTACACGCGTATGGAAAATGAGAAACATCCGACCATTTCAATATTCAGACAAATAAACAAATATATTCACCCGCCGAACCGATGACGTCAGCAAGAAGAGTTTTTCACATTTTCATTACACGTACGAAAATCACAAAATCCATTCTTACCTTTGACATGATTCAATTATTAGATTCACTGAATTCTCTTCGCAGTCCTATTAGATTGAATGAAATTCCAATTGGTTTTCAAAATCGAATTTACTTCTGTGTTACTTGTGACAGCGAAGAAAATGTGCGGAGTCAACAACGTGTTGTGTGCAATGAAGAATGAAACGAGAAACGAATGAGAGAAAAATGGCCAATTCAATGATATATCAACTGTCATAATGGAATCGAATTAGGACAGACTGTTATACATTATGCTTAAACGGGAAATTGGAATTTTTGGCCCAAACTCACTTTTGTTGAGCGAAAAATGTCAATATGTAGAAGCATGCTTTGAATTGGTCGAATTTTTAAGATGAATTGAAAAAGGTATTCAAAGTTACAACAAATGACTGGAAGAACATTTTCAATTTCCCATTTTCAAATTTGTCTTCTTTATCCTATCCATAACATCAAGTGTCAAAATTTTATCCGCTATACGCATGTTGTTGTGTGTGTTGTATGAACAGAACAGTCAATCGTTGTGTAATACGATAGACACCATTTGGTGATTCGAACAATTTCATTCCCTGCAAAAAGTGCCTTCTTGGAATGTTCTGCAATGAAGATTGCATGCAAGCACGGCACCACAAATATGAATGTGAAATTCTGGTACCACCATCTGCCCACGTAATTCTAGAGTTGCTCGTGCAAATGGTTGTCAAGACGAATATCGCATTCCCTGACGTTGATATACTTTGATATACTTATGCAAACAGTCGAGCGCCTTTTAAATGGTGAAAACGGCGATGGTTTGAATGCTGCAGAAAAGGATTTTTGCTCAATTTTTCAACTGATTCACAACCACGATAAACTGTCGATCGAACAATTGGAAGCGATTCCATTTACATCAGCTTACACTTATTCCGCTCTCATCGGTTTTCCGGATTTTAAGCAGAGATTTGTGACAGCAAAACATTGTCGTTTCCTACAGCACCTCATTTTTCATTTCATGCATGTGATTGAACACTTATTTGATTCGAAATGCTGCATCACCAATGGAACCAACGGTCTGGTTTCATCGTATTGTTTTGGGGAGTTTGCAGCTGGAATGTACCCATTTGGATCATACATCAATAACTCGTGCATTCCCATTGCAATGTAGGTTGGTTCAACATTGACAGTCGCTTTATCTGTAAGTGAACCAGCCAATCCAGAAAAGCGAACAGATTTTCATATCGTATTGGTAAGTTTCATAAATTGGTTAATACAACCTAGAAATTTTAGTAAATCAAACACAACATGCAGCCAATGCATTATAGGCTGGAGCACCATTGAACACTACGAAAAAAATGCGATCAAATTTTTGGACAAATATGACCGCTTCCATCCGATCAACGAAACGATTGAAATGCAGAAAACTTTGCAGTGCATGTGGTATCACCGTGTAACAAATTTCAACTTTTTCTTCTGCACATGAGAAATTCCGATTGCTTGTTTTAGAGGACCAAAAACCAAGCACTTTTGCATCATTAGTTTGTTCGAAACCACGTCTAGACTTTTTTTTATCGACACATATAAGACAAATTTCAGGCCAAAATGAGCAAATCACAAACATGAGCTTCGTTTTGACAGGTAAAAGCAAATAATTTCTAAATTTTCTGCCTTTCAACATCTAGTATGATCCTTTACAAACATTTTGGATACTTACATGACCAAATCGAGTGATGTTTTCACATATTTCTGGCCGCATATTTGGTTGGTTCGAATTCGACTCTGAAAGAATCGACTTTTGGCCAAAAATCCTTAAGTATAGGCTTTTCAGGGATGGTCTCTTGGCGCAAAGTTATTTTTTCTCGAAAATATGGGAAGTCTACCCAGACAAAAACTCTCAAAATTGACTTTTCGAGGTACCTCCCGAACAAAAGTTACGTTTTTCATGCATTTTGCTATGAAAATAACATTTTTTGTTCGGGAGGTACCCCAAAAATACACTATTTGGATGAGTTTCTTAGTAAAAAATTAATTTTTTCGAGAAATATTGGGAATCTTCCCACACAGAATCTCTTATAAATGATTTTTGGGGTACCTCCCGAACAAAAAATGATATTTTCATAGCAAAATGCATTAAAAACGTAACTTTTGTTCAGAAGGTACCTCGAAAAGTCAATTTTGAGAGATTTGGTCTGGGTAGACTCCCCATATTTTCGAGAAAAAATAACTTTGCGCTAAGATACTATCCCTAAAAAGCCTATATTTAAGGATTTTTGGCCAAAAGTCGATTCTTTCAGAGTTGAATTCGAACCAACCAAATATGCGGCCAGAAATATGTGAAAACATCACTCGATTTGGTCATGTAAGTACCCAAAATGTTTGTAAAGGATCATACTAGTTGTTCAAAGGCAGAAAAGGTAGAAATCATTTGCCTTTACCTGTCAAATCGATGCTTATGTTTGTGATTTGCTCATTTTGACCTGAAATTTGTCTTATATTGTCGATAAAAAAAAATCTAGACGTGGTTTCGAACAAACTAATGATGCAAAGGTGCTTGGTTTTTGGTCCTCTAAAACAAGCAATCGGAATTTCTCATGTGCAGAAACATGTGTTGCACGGTGTATTTGTTGGCTACAGAACATTGGTAATTCACGCTGACATCAACGAACAGACCATCGAAAAAACCAGAAGCAAATACTTCAATTCGGAAAGAAAACAGATGGATTTTTCAAACCATAGGCACTAAAGTCGCTAGAAAATTACCTTATCTTCAATAATTCTTACTACAAATAGATATCAGGGATCGAAACCAAACCAAACCGAATATTTGGTTTAAGTGTGTGAACAAACCAAACCATTCGGAACGTTCTGAAAAATGGTTTGTATGGCACACAGAAACGTTTATGCTTACGTGTATTAGTATACGACACTAACACAGTGACAACCCGCTTGAACGTTGCCCATACAAACCATTCTCAGAACGTTCCGCTTGATATGGTTCGCTCCGATGAACAGAGAGCAAAGCAGTGAAACCGTTCCGAAATCGGTTTGTATGAGAAACGTTAAACCGTTTTCGATCCCTGATAGATATCTGCATCATTTTATTTGTTTTTATCATTTTTCTTATCAATTCATTGCAAATCATTTAATGATTTTGATAGTTTTGGTTCTTTTCATCGCTAAATAAAATACATGATTCTTATTTGGAAATGGTTTTTAATGTGTTTCATATTTGCTTTGGAGATTAAATCGAAGCTGGTGGAAAAAACTTCAAAGAGGTAAGATTCTTGATTGAAACGAAGCCTCCTATTTGGATGGATTGACACTTTTTTGTCTACAACTGAAACAAAGCTGTGAATTTCGTAAGATTGTCCAGGAAATGTCAAAAATCATTTTAGCCGCGTCTTACATTATATAGGAACAGAAGAAAGATACAAGGAAAAAAACAACGATTCGATCATTAAATTGAAATTTTATTATTTTCTTCCTAAGCTTGATAAATTTAAACATTAAGAGTAGAAAAAAGGAACATTTTCTTTTAAATTTATGTTTAAAAAATTTTTCGGTTAGGTTAGATTAAGCAACAAGCTTAATATTCTATTGAGAATAGAGTTTGATTCGAATTGTTGATGTGGAATCGGCTGTCATCACAATCTAATCGAAGCTAAGGATTCATTTGGTGGATTTTTTGTTGGCATTGTGAATGTTGTTCATGTGTCTTGGTAAATTAGCAGCCCATGCAAAACGTTTCATGCAAATCTCACAGCGGGACGGCTTTTCTCCAGTATGTGATCGCATATGACTTTTCATCATTGATTTATAGGAAGTTTCGTACTTTCTACAGATATGACATTCATACCGACGGTTTTGACATTCTTTTTGATGAGCTATTTTCTCAGTCATCAGCGAAAATCCTTGGGAACAACCATAGCAATGGAACGGGAACACATCGGTGTGAGTCGTAGAATGCCTCCTTAAGTTTGTTGCATCTATGAATTCTTTTCCGCACCGATCGCATGAATATGGCCTTTCGCCGGTGTGAATTCGGTTGTGTCGGATCAAATTCTGACTGTACATAGTAGAAAATGGGCAAACAGAACATCCAAATCGTTTTTTCGGCTTCAACTGTTTCGCTGCAGACGTTTCACCACCCATATGGATTGCATTCGCTGACATTGTTGAACCCGATGTAGAATTTTGGTTGGCTTCCTTGCAGTGCACATTTGTGGTGGTGCCATTTACTTGCTGCTCGATTGGTACACGCATCCGTTGATGGTCTCCCAAAGCAATTAATGGAAGATCGTCATCTGTTGCTTCCTCCATTAGCTCTGTATCATGTTCCCCCTCAACGTAATCTGTACCTCCAATGTAGGATGCAATCAAATCTGGCTCAGTCCAACCGTGTCTTCGTCATCAGTAGAGTCAACGATTTCGATTGGGTCCGATTCAGTATTCGTTTCTTCTATTTTGATGTCCTTTGGATCGAGACACTGATTCACCACACTTGTCAAATTGGCGCTAGAGCCGCCATTGACTCGTTCTTCCAACAATTCTTCCTCCAATTTTTCGTAGGTAGCCCGTACACTAGAAGGTAATGAAAACCAATTTTCAGTAAAACATTACGTTTCGAAAATGATAGCAATTGCGTCGCTCACTTACCGATTGTTCGAAACAGCCAAAAAGTACTGCTTGAATTCGGAATCGAATCGCAAACCAGTATGCCGGGCTGACATCTTCATATTGGTCTAGGATTGCTCAATTTGTCGCTCACATCCAGCTAGCATTTTATCCATTTCCTCTTTCCAGCTCATGATCGAATTCATCTACACGCGTATGGAAAACGAGAAACATCCGAGCATTTCAATATTCAGACAAATAAACAAATATATTCACCCGCCGAACTGGTGGCGTTAACAAGAAGAGTTTTTCACATTTTCATTACACAAAATCCATTCTTACCTTTGATTTGCTTCAACGAACGTATTCAACGAATTCTCTTCAAAGTCCTATTAGATTGAATGAAATTCCAATTGGTTTTCAAAATCGAATTTACTTCTGTGTTACTTGTGATAGCGAAGAAAATGTGCGGAGCCAACAACGTGTTGTATGCAAAACGTGCAATGAACGAGCAATGAATGACAGGTGTCAAACAACATTGACCAATGACATTAAAAGAACGCCACCATCAACTGTCATCTTTCCAAACAGGAGAGACTGGAATGCGTTCTATAGTGGAATGGAAAATTCGAATTTTTACGCAAATTGTTTCTAATTGCAACAGCGAATGTTTATGTGAACTCCTCTCATCTGGATTAATATGATTTGTAAATGGAATTTATTGGCAAATACAATCCAATGCTCAATTGATTTCAAGCGATAAATTACCGTATCATTTGTGTAGATATTTTGTTTCCTAAAGCAGAAATTTATTCAAAAAATGCAGAAAAATCGATTCGGATCAATTTAATATAACGTGAAGAAACAAACACTCAAATTGAGAAGACATTTCGTTTAACATGATGTTTTGCAAATTTATTATTTCATTGTAAATGTCTGAATCTTTATGAACAATTAACATAACAATTGTGTTATTACATGTATGTTGAATGATGTCGATGTTCAAAGCGAACACCATTATCAATCGAACTGTGGTCGTTTTTTCTCTCGAAAATCAAACTTTCACTACTTATAAGTAGTGAGAATAATTATTGTCTTAGATAAAATGCAGCTAGTCTACAGTATGTGTGGATTTATGCTTTTCACACATACGTATCGAATCATTTCGATTTCATCTAACAAATATAAATGCTGATTAAAATATAACAAACAAATACATTATTAGACCTTAATATCTGTACAACAAAACTCACTAAAGCCTACATTCTTACGTAAAACATTGAAGACGCTAAATATTTTGTGACAAATTAATAAAATCACTATAAAAATGCCTCTTGGCATCTCGGTTCCGTTGTGCGCCTCTGGGCGTTGGTCTAAATGTGCCTCTTGGCAGCATTCGTTCAGGAAAAAAATTGCCTAGTATCAGTTGAATGAAGCCTTGTCAAGCGGATGTTGACGGATTATCTGTTGAATAAGCAAAAATCGGTCAGTTCGAAAGCAAAATTATTGGTTATTAGTTGTTCTCTGCCTCACCTTTTGTGCTGGAGAAGCTAAAGCTTCGTGTTTTGATGTTCTTGGTTGTGTTGTATCCACCACAGTTGGCACACTTCAACCCGATAAAATGGAATTTCACCGTTGATTGCTAGAGGAAAAATCGAATAAAATGAGAAAAAAAAAATCACATGTAATTAGGCCACACATGACTCGAATGTATCGATAAGACGATGTGATTCACAAGATGGTCTCTGTAACAATTTAATAAATGGCAAAACTCCTTGAAAACCGAAATCGAATCAAATATTTAACTCACTTTGAAGCAATCGTTGCAAAAGATGTCCACAATACTGTTCACGTGCGATTTTGGAACGGGTAGATTTTGTGCTTGTGTATCGAGATAGTCCCACAATTTGGTCATATCGATCATTGATGTTTGACAAGTTGGACACACGTAATGACCCGATGCCAGCTGAATTATAAAATGTCAATGAGAAGAAGTATTAATTCTGTGATGAAATGAATTCGTGATGAGGTCGTGAGTTAGGAAATGAACGCTTGCGTGTCGAAGTGAGGAAAGAGAAAGGCGTCGAAAGAGAAACAAGGAAATGTAATGTGTGAGGAACGGTGAATGTGCTTACCAACTGGTCGAAGCATGTCTTGTGCAGCAAATGACCGCAATCAGGAATATGACATGGATAACGAGATGTGTGTATGTCTCCCAAGCATACCGGGCAATTCGAACGTGATATATTCTCCACACACTGTAAATAGTGGATATTCATTGGGTTTTGACCAAAACGAACGAAAAAAGTCCATGTGTATTGATTGAAAGAAGAGGATGGATACTCACTCGATGTCCATTTGTTTTAAGCTGCAATGGCAAGCACATATTGCACACTTCGCAATGGAAAAAATTGTTCCGTCCACCGATTCGACAAATACCGCATCCATCACAATGATATTGATCCTTGTCCTCGTCGTCAAACAGATTACAAATTAAACACGTGAACTGCAAGAGGGGACAAAAAGTGGTTGAAATGAATGGCACATTACGAATTCAGTATGTCATATTTCAAGTTGTTCGACCCAGACTTTTTTCTCCATCGCTATTTTTCGCTTACCTTTCCGAATCGTATACCACAATTGGCGCATTCCGCTTGTACTTTTTGTCGTGTATCACAATTCGTGCAAATTAATTCCGTTAGCGTTTTCCGATCGAAATGATGGTCCTCATTCTCATCGTGACAGTATCGACAATTGAAGAATTTTCCACAACACGGCGTCTAAATTATGGGAAAAGAGACAAGAGAAAAAAAAACGTTCGATATAAAATCTGATTTGACTTGAAGTAATGAAATGAGATTTTTGTTTTAACACATTTGTACTACTGTAATGGCTATACCAACAAACACCCATCAATTTTACAATTTGCAACGCAATAAATTCATGAAAATATCAATACGAATACAATTTAAATGGAAATTTCTACTCAATACATGCGAATCGAGAATGGCAATTTAATGGCGAAATAAAACCACTTTGAACGCGAGAGTTGTTCAGGGAGAGAGAGAGAGAGAGAGAGAGTGAGAGAGAGTGAGAAAAAACCATCGTCATGTTGATGCGTCCAAAAAGTGATGATTTGCTGAATTTATTATTGCATTTATGATGTGACAAGACAAGACGATAATTTGTTATGATAACACAGTGGGCTGTGTGACAGGCAGAAATGAAACTTTATTGCAAATATTTACTTTTTCTTTCGCTCGAGGGCAATTTTTCGTCCGTATTAATCTAAAAATACTAATGAGAGCGCTGAATTGAAAGTGTATCATGGACTTTTGTGTCTTTGTTGGCAATTGCTCGATTATCTTCTTTCATCAAATCAGAATGTCACTCTAATTCGTTCATATTTTCATTTCCAATAAAGTTCAATTCACCGTCACACGGTAGCTTCATTAGCACACACGAGTCGGAAAGCCCACGCGTCCATCGCATGCACTTCATTTCTACGATTATCGTCAACGTAATTAAAATTTGCACTCTTCTAACCTCAAAAGAGATATGAGATATTCATGTCCAATGCAATTTGCTTGCACTTAGAATTTCTATTTCTTTTTTGATCTTAACACAAACTTGAAAGACTCACGAGTGAAAAACATTTGACGGCTTAAATGATGTGTGCATTTTGCCATGTGTTGATTGTTTCTTTTTATATCGATGCTAAAAACGTCTATTGTCTCAAAGGGATGCCACTGTGCAACTGGTGCTATTTACTCTTCGCATTGTTGTTGTATTTCTGCGTGAGAGACAATGAATGTGCTAATCACAAAAAATAAACACCATAATTGCTTGGCTTTGTCCATATTTTCGTTTGCTTGTTTTTTCGATCGGCACTTGAATGCCGCCCGCTCCCAGTGATTCATGTGAACAATTGTTAATTGGAAAGACCATCCAGCTGTCGCTAAATCCAATCCAAATGACTACTATTTTTAGATCATAAAAATACTATAAACTTTGTGAATTTTTGCACGACGCGATATCTCTCTCTCTCTCTCTTGCTGCATTAGCTTTGTCGCCATATTTTACAGTTGGAAATAAATTCTGTGTGCTGTTGCTTTTTTTGTCGGCCGAGTATTCGCTCGTCGTACCGTCGTGCTCGTAAGAACTGTCTAACTACATTTGAATATGGCAACATTTTCTCCGTAGTGTGTTATCTGCGCGGAAACAAAGAAACTAAACACTGGAAAAGTCAGTCTCATTCTTTCGGTTTAGTTCGATTCAATTCGTTTATGGTTTTTTTTCTCGTTCGTTGGAATTTTTATGGCATCGAATCGGAATGCGCGGCTAATTCGAAAATTGTTTTGCTTAAAAAAATTTTCGACTTGTAAATAAGATGCTATCTTTTTGGGCGCACACAAAGCGATTGTTGTCACAAAACACACAATGTGCGCAATGACAATGTTATTTATTTTTTTTATCTCAATTCAATTCAATGAAAGGCAAATATTTATTCCAGTCTTTGGTCCTATCTCCGTACGTCTTTCTCTGTGTAGTTAAGAGATGTGAATAAGGGAGCCATGTTTAGTGTGTGTGTGTGTGTGTGTGTGTGTGTGTGTGTGTGTGTGTTTGACTGTGCGTATGTCGACGAGTCAAACAACAAGTGGAAGTAAAGTAATGAGCCAATCTATAATAAATAATAATTTCCTAAGTACACAGAATTTTGCGATCACAAGCGACCCAACACGCTCACATTCAATTTTGGAATTGGCGCGCAATAGCAATTTACCCTCACTTCTCTCTTTCTCACTATCTGTGTCAAATGCTAGGGGAATATCACACTCCTGAATCTTGTGAGATATTTGAAATAAACATCAATTGTATGACATATTTTCGAATATTTCGAATAAATAAATCAGATTTTTGTGGACTTTGGAGATATTTGAGATTTTTTGCATTAAATCCGAATAAAACCATTAAAATATCATTCATAATCACAAAAATCCACAATATTCCGCCGTATTCACAAATATCCACCATATTTCATACGACAGATTCTTAGAGATAAATTGGATTTTTTTGAAATATTTGAAATAATTTAAGCGTGATATTCCCCTAGGTCAAATGCAAATGAGCCAATTTAGTGATAATATTTGGATCACGATTGAAGAGAATTATTTTCCTTAATTTGATGTAATTGTAGCACAAACACGTTGTACATTATATCGTACACAATATAAACTGCCTTGCTCTGCTCGAGTCTCCCGCTACAGCTATGGCTGCTTCGGCTGTTGCTCTTCCAGCCATATATGCGTTGTTTTATCAATTGTATTCCATACACTTCTATTATTACCATAAATCAATAATCATGGAATTTATTGAACAAGTTTATTTGCATCGGTAACGATGCGCGATGACAAGAACAACAATTAGGTAACAATAGAAATGAATAAAAAGAAAAAAACGATTCTTCGATTTGGCCTTTTATTCTTCTCGTCGTTCGCGAGAGAAAGAGAGGAACCACAGAAAGTGAGTGTGAAAAAAAAACAGCCGCAATTTCAATTGCCCAGTGTTTCTTTTTTCTTTGCTGCTTATATCAAAAATTGTCATTTGCTTAACGAATTCGCTTGATTGCATTGCATCTCTGTGCATTGACTCTGGCTCCATTCAAATCCCTTGAACACATTGTATACAATTCGATTGAGAGTGGCCATTGAAAGCGCTCGTTTGCCGCGAGTTGTTAATGCAAATGTTCGTTTTTTATTATCGCAAATAAGTGAGAAATAACAGCTAAGTGGCTGATTCGCGCATCATTCAGATTCTATTTGATGTGAAACACAGAAATGGGATGAACGGGAGCGACAGTGAGAGCGATAGAGAGAGAGAAAGCGAAGCAAAACAACGATCCAATTACTTGAACAAATTAGGCTCAATTAGATTTCATCGAGAAATTGAATGGAAAAAGCGACCGCATCGCACATACTACTCTAAGTTCCTTTTAGTTTAATGTAAACATCCCAGACATACGTGTAAACTATTCGTACACGAAGAGACTAATTCATTTTGGTCTATCTATAAAACAGCTCAATACGAAATGAACTTAAACAATCGATAAATATTTTGCAAATATTTACCCGAAAAAAATGGAATATCTTCATTTTTTAATGAATTGTTATTGGGTTTCAATGGGAAATGTTCTAGGTTGATCGGCCCAAAATCCATAGAATATAGCATTTGAGAAAATTACGTCATCTGAACCATGGTCGGCGTAGCGATATGTCCCGGTGAGAAGCGAAAAAAACCTGTTCGATTAAGAATTTTCGCTTTATCTTTTTTTTTAAACCACAAAGATCATTCAACTGGTTTGTAACACACACGGTGACTGATTTTTTTGCAGAGCCAAAATATGAGCGGAGTTCAAAATGCTTACATATCAATTCTAAGAATAGGGAACCTGGGTTTTTTTTATCGAATGAACGATGAATTGATTATACAGGCGTGTGCGGTGAAATTTTTGACAAAAAATTCCATTAGGTTTTAATGATATGGTGAAGCATCGTTATCGCCAGCCAGCTATCAGTTAGCAGCGAAAGACGAACAGTTCTTGAATTTTTGGCCGACTCGTGCCGAGCTTATAGGCCGTTATAACAAGCACCTTTTTTTTAGAAACAAGGTAACGTGTAGTGTCACGTTCCAAGCAACTGAAAACGCTTTTAGCCTGGATACTCTTTTTCGATGCGTAAAACATTATTAAAACTTTTGTTTGTAATTATGACTGGTGTGTGAGATAAACTAGTTTTCAATTATTGCATTTTTTTGGAAAAAAGAAGATTCTTGTTTTGGTTCGCCTTTTTAACTCAAAGAATGATTTCTCCTGTTGATTCTTCTCTTGGTGTTGCCGTTGCTGTTGCGTGTCGCTCGCAGTATGGTGCAGCAAGCGATGACTTGATCACAATTTCAATTGTAATAGCATGAATGAGGCGATGCTTTGAATGTAAAAAATATGGCTGTAGACTACAAATTGATGCGAGATTATGATGAATTAACAATCGATTGAGATTTTGACGCACGACAGCGGCGACGACGCCAACAAAAGTGTTAGTGTGCTGTGTCAGGGACGATTGGACGATATACCGAAATGAATCAAGTGACACACGCAGATGTGTGCCTACGACCGATCACTTGTTTTACATTGTAAAACCGTGGCTAGAAATCGTCAGCATACGGGCCAGCGTACGTTAGGAAAATAGCTCACACAATTCATAAAAAAAAATCATCGGCAGCACATACATGTTTTGTTTGGGCTGTAGTGAATCGTAAATACTTACTTCTAAACTGGTTTTGAACTCACAGCGGCCATTTACACGCATTTTGAATGCAAAGCGGCCAAGAGTCGGCCATTCGGTGTGTGTGTGTGTGCGCCCAGTCAAATCGGAATCGTGATATTGATGGTTGATAATTGTGTTACATTCGATGTTGTACACACACGTTAGAACTTTCACTTTGTCATTGCTTCCCAGCCCATGTTGCCATCGCGCAACCTCTCGTTGACAAAAAAGTCAACATAACAGCATTCAATATGCCAAGTGGAAATGCTAAACAAAATTCATGGACTTAATGTTGTATTGGCTATATTTAGCATTCACAAAAACCATAACAGCCCATCGATCGAAGAAAACGTATGGAAAACGTGCAAAAAATCATATGTTTGATTTTTGTTTCTGCGTTGTAAGCCAGCCAATTGATGACAATATATTTATTCAAAATCAATCGAATCAATCAGCGGAAATTTGTTTGCCATTCATTAGACCGAGCGTCCGAATCAATCCAAATCAATTATTACTTTTGAGAAATTTATCCTTCAGAATCGCTGTGTAAGCTTTGGAAACTCTACTGTCAGATTGTCAGCCATAAAATAAGAGATATGTCGACACCAGTGCCATCGCTGCCTCTGCTGCAGCATCAAAATGACAATGACAATTCAAAAAAATATATTTCGAGAGTACAATTCATACTGTGAATTTGATAGGACCGAAAATACTGGAAGGAATTGAAAATTTAATAGATGCACACGCTCACATACACACAATGGACGTGTGTGTAAAAAACAGAGAGATCATAATTTAATCGTCAATAAAGTTGCGTTTAATGTTGTGGGTCGACAACATCACGACATGCAACAGCACACATTCGGGCAGTTTGGCATGCTCAATGGCTGGTTGATTGACTGGCTAGCTGGCTCGGCTCGTTCACTTACTTGACCGAAAGCGTGTTGCGCTGCTCGGTCGTGCGCTCGCGCTTCTATCCCATTCACAATTTTACAACAAAACGAATATTGAATATTCAATAAAGTTAAATTAGTTGAATTAAAATCACTCTCGCAATGTATGAATATAACGGACGAAACGAGCATATTTTGCATTGTGTATTATGATGTTCGTATGAATATGAGTTTGATATCAGCAGCACAGTGAATTTAATATGAAACAGAAAGAAGAATAAGAAAAAAAGTGTTTCGAGAACTAAGAATGGATTTTTATTTTTCGTTTAACTTACGACAAATTTAGCCTTACGCTTGTAGTGCACACATCCATACGTTTGCTGCGATGTCGGTGGCGGTGGCAACGGTGGCGATTGCGACTGTTGCTGTTGCTGTTGTTGCTGTTGTTTTGATTGTGTGTCGTCATCGATAACTACGTTGCAATCAGTTTTATTGTTGGTGTTCACATTTTTGATATTCTTGCAAATGTCTTGATTATTTATGCATTTATCATCATCAGCCATTTTAGCATCATATTTCCCTTTCGTTGTTGTCGTTGTTGTCAATTTATGAGAATCGGCATTGGACTTTAACCGATCCATATCACTGTCTTTTGCATCGCCATCGACGCTTTTGATGGCCGGTAACTTTTCATCACAAATGCTCATTTCATCATTTTTTTCCATCATTTTTCTCGCTCTCTTTCTCTCTCTCTCTCTTTCAATTTTTCGCGAACCGTTTTTCTCCCCACTATACTCTTTTAATCAGCACTTAGCCGTTGCAAACAACAAAATCTTTTATTTTCATGAAAACAATCGCGATCTCTTTATTTGCTTTAAATCGAAGCGGCGGCCGTTTGTGACTTTGACTGTCAAAGTTTGACACTGTCAGTTCAATTAAAATGATTTCATCAGTGCTGATTCGGTTTTTCGCGTTTTTTCTTCTTCGGTCATTGGTGCTGAGCACACTGCAAACGAAACAAACATCAAATGAACTCGCGCGCACACACTGATCTTATTTACTAAATTTCCAATGGCACTTTTGTGTATCGTCGTTCACTTAATCGATTCCAATTCATTCGGCTCATTTGCTCTATTAATTCAATTCGTCGCAGCAAAATGCTTCGTTTCGTCGGTTGATTTTTTTTTCACTTTCAATTGGACTACGCTCTGTTCCTTTTCATATTCATGTCTTTAGTTTTTTTTTATTTAAATATTTTTTTTTCTTCTTCTTTTTTTCGTACTGTATGCAGACTCCGACGCGTATGAGAGACTGCTCTCTGTGCTCTTTATTCCCTTCTCTGAGCAAGTTTTTCTTTCTGTTGTTGTTGTTGTTGTCTCGTACTTTTTCACTGCCTTTTTCGTAGTCGTGTGTTGTTGTGCTTAGCGCTTAATATTCATTTCGAACGTACTCAATTACAAATCAGTTTTGAAGGCAACACACACTTTTCTCTCTCTCGTTTCTTCTTTTTCAGCGCTCACACTAAAAAAAAAACTGCAATCTCTCTTTCTCTCGTAAAAACTGTCACATTCTTTTTTTAAACTACTAGTTGGAAACTACTAAATTTTTTCGGCCCATCATCATCACAGCTGATAGGAACGAAGGCATTTGATAAGTCACAATACACTCTTTCACCTTTCCAATTGGAATTTTTTCATTTGTCTTCTTCTTATGGACGTTTTGGCATTTCTGTTCAATAATTACTTTGGAAGGTTGTATTTCTTTTACACTACTATTCGAGAGGTAGATTTATTACGAAATTTTTCAATCTCTGTCATCACATTTTACGAATCACTACTTAAATTCCAATATTTTTTCCACTTCACAAAATAATTGATACAAATAGACACACAAAGCGACGCAAAAATTTCCTTCTTATTTCTTCGATGTATGAAAAATATTTTACACGTCACTGGTTATCGTTTAACACTTGCAATTCGACTGAAATAATTTATTTGTTCGCTCAAAATACGAACCCATTTTCTGGTTGAATGTTCACATTCGTTACTCCATACACATACGTTTCTTTTTCTTCTTTCACACAAACTCGCGTGTTATGATGGTGATGCGTTGAATGTGTTAAGCACCATACTTCTGCGTGATATCATAAGTAACTGTTGCTTCACATTGCTTACGAGAGCATGTTGACAGCTCGCTCGACACAGACAGACCAACAATACAACATTCACACAGATCATATGGAAACAACTGTAAGTATCGAACAAAAAACCCATGGCCCAATGTCAATATAGCACACTAACTCATACAATCGCGCACACACATTGCCGTATTCACATTCACTTTGTTCAACGAGCTGCCAGTTTAATGCCAAATAAGGCGTTATTGCCATTAATGATTCAAAAACGAGTGAATCAAGTGGAGATCTCATGCATTTGACTTATTTTTAAATTCTTCAATCGCTTTTTTCTCTCTTGATTTTAAATAATATGACGAATAATAAACTATTCACTAGCTAGTTCAAGAGAGTGAAAGACATTTTTTCTGAACTCGAATTCCAGTTGATTAAATTCAAGTTTGAAATGAAACATCAAGAAAATACGCAACCATTGACCGTCTCCACTCAAAACGGTTTCTATTGTACAACTGGAATTTTTTTTTATTGAAGAAAAATTTGTGAAAGGAAAATGTCTTTGGCAGAGAGAAAATATTTAATGGACAAGAAAATCTTCAGCAGAGAAAAAAAAACCGTAGTCTTGTTGACAAATTGTTCCAGAGTCTTGTTTAAAACTAAAAACTTAGATACTAGTCAATTACACTTAAAATATGCTATGGCAAAACTAAATAGACTTCAATGAGTTATAAAAAAAGTGACTTCATCGTCGAAAGCAAGAACGGAAAATCGCATGAATTGATGAGTTTTTGAGTTGGAGTGTGCTGAGCTGAAAAGACAAACTACCGCACTGTCAAGATGAAAGACTCTTCGATGACTGTTAGCGAATAGTTTTTAATGAATAAACTTTTTTTTCGGAATGGTTTGAAGTGGGTTGGTCAAACATGGAAAATACTATTGTGTTTTCGTAAGATGGGTACGTCCATCGTCAAAGAGTGAAAAACTCGAAAATCAATTCGATTGAACTGTTCATGCTGTAAATAGTTCCTGCTGATTTGACATGATGCCAGCTCGTTATTTTTAGTTGGCAAATGGTCTTCAACTTTTCCACCCGTATGTTTTTTGAACATCTCTTCCTTATTTCGTCCACAATTTTGAACATCTCTTTTTTCGCCCGGAAAATTGATGCACAAAAATCGGTACCAATCAGGTTCAGGTTTAGTGTTTCAGGGATTTTAATTCTAAAATTTTCCAAATTCAATTAAAAATTGACAATTCTCAAACGCGGTGAATATTAAATAAATGCTCGCTCCATTGATAGCCTATTGGCCAATGACCAAAGTGAAAACCAACTTCCGTAAAATGTTTAACGTTTGAAAAATCAATTTGCCTAGGAACAATTCGAGCACACTTCTACGGGAAAGGGAAAATATTTGCAAAGATGGTGCATGCACGATACCGGAAAAGTTTGTTCTAGAAATTGAATTGCCTCGTCGATGAGTTGTTTATCGTTTCGACATTTATTTACATGTGACGTATGTGAAGTTTTTTTTCCCGATGGCAAGCAAAACAGTCAAGCAAAAAAAGATAAACAAATATTTGATGAAATTTCAACCATGTGAACCACAGTTGAAATTTTCCAAATGACTTGGGCCCGATTCGGCAACGATGGCAAATGACTACAAAAACGCAGTTGAAAATAACGAAAAAAAAACTTTGAAAATTGCACACCGTGCATACGAAATGTGGCATGAAAATAGACATACAAGAAATTCTCGCAAAATTTTCAATTGAAATAATTAATTTCGGAAGCACACATGAATACAAAATGGGAGCAAAGTTGTAAACGAAACAAATTGAACCCGGGCTCGAGCTCGAGAGTTCAACGGTTGGAGGGAGGACGAATGTATTGAAGAGCCGAAGAGAAGAGTTTAGATTTTTATTGGCAAACAAATTTTGCTTTTGTTCAATAGCGATACGATCGTTTCATCAATGACTACAACGTGAATGTCTGTGCGTTATGCCTTCGATAAAAGTGCCACGGTGTCAATAGAACGAGCAACTTCTCTATATAGAGTGTATATATACATAAACACCATTCCACACTCGATGTGAATGTAAGACAATTCAAAAATGTATGAAACTTTTAATATGCTTGCGATGAATTTGCAGCTAATTTCATGGTAATCGAGAAATGCAGAAGTGTCCGTTCTTTCCATTCGATTCGGGTTTGCTAATGTTTTTCTTTGTCAAACAATAAATAAAATTCCCGTTTTATAACGTTTATTGGCTGTCAGAACATGTGCACTTCATTGCATGCTATAAAACATTATTAATCATAAAAAATGTGTGTGTGGCACCGTTTGCCAGGCACTCCTTGCACTCAAACAATTCTCAGTCGATCGGTCGGTTGCCGCGAATGTGCATCTGTGTACGATATTCTCCATTCTTATGTGGTCGCACTGAATTGTCGGTGGTGTGAATGGACAGTGGGTGGGTGTGTTTGTGTGAATGCTTTTTTCTGTGCTACTTGCAAACTGTTGAGATTATAAACTTTTTCAATTAGGTTCGAAGCGCCGGATAAACACACAACAGCACTACATATGGAGCACGTATGACCAACAAAAAAATAATATTAAGCATAATACAAAACAGGGGCTTATTTCTTTTATACCATGCCACATACTCGCTGCGTTATCCGAACGATTTTCTCCGGCCAATTCTCGACCAAATCTGATGCTCTCCTCTTCGGTGTGGAACGAAAACTTCATATGTGTGTGAATATCGGTATAATGGACGTATTAAAAAGCATGAATAGTTTTTGCCATGTGAAACGTGCTCAAAACATCGAGAGAGAGTGAGAGAAAAAGATACACACACATATCGTTGAAAATTCTCACGTCATTTTACATTCAGGCGACGAGCACTCATTCACATTGAATAGATGCTTTTCGGAGCAATCGTGTGCATATGAAGGGCGGCTGTCGATCATAATAGCATCGAATTACATTGCCTTGACTTGGTGCACAAAGTTCGACACATTCTCTGATATGAAGTCAGGGGAATTGAGACAGAGAAGGTGACACACAGAGACAGAGAGCGACTGATGCTTAAGTGATTTTTTATGTGACGATCAATGATGAAAGTTTATGTACGTTATACGCAATCAACGCAAATTAGTTCAATCAAAAAAAAGACCGGTCAAATTCAATAACATTCAAACTTTTCGTTGGCCTGAAAATAGTTGAAAATTCAAGTTTAAATTTTTCAACCCAATTGATCGATTCAGGAAAGTTTCGATGCGATAAATTGAGGAATTTTATGAGAATTAATCGCTGCGCTTAAATATTTAAAGTGAAAATAGTTAAAAATACACTTTTCGAATTTCCGAGACAAACCCAAGACGGCTCAATATTTTATGCATGAATCGGTAATACAGTAAAATGTGATAGAGTTATTCGATTTAAAGTCGACTCTATCGAAACTATCCATTTCATGAATTATGTTCCAATCAAAATAGCGTAAAGTGAAGTACGCCCAAAGTAGGAGCTGAATATAAATTGTGCGGATAATTCATAAGTATGATTTATACTTATTTTTGTTTTCGCACGTAATTCCTCTTATTCGCCGTTCGTCGAAAAGAATACAAGCACATACACACACACAAACACTCATGACGAATTTAGCTCAATTGCTATTTATTTGCCATTTGGGATATAATCACAGCCGAATCAACGCGATTGAATGAGCATATTTACACGGTAATTGACGACGATACTCGATAAAATCAACGTCATTTCATTGTGCAAATGAACTGTTTTACGCCCGAAATTGATAGCATCTTATCGTGTGTATTTTCGGCTGGTGTTTGCATGGACCGTCGTTCGTCAAAAGCACACTCACTCACTCACTCATACTCACACACTCACACAAACCGAGTATTTTATGTATTTGTATCACGTATCCGAAAATCTCTTCTACAACGGATAACCGAATTTAGAAGGAATCGAGTGAGAGCAGCTAACGTCTTTGCTACGTGGAGCAAACAGCCAAATATTTGCTGCATGTGATTGAGTGTTATGGTGTCTAGGCGTACTCTAGCCATAGCTAAAATATGTATATTATGTTATTGGCAGCGTTACCGTACGTGTGTCATAAAAATAATATGCTGAAAGTCACCTCGAATTCAATAGAAAAAAAGGACTGAACAGCAGCTTGATGACAGTATGCCCAGGCCAGAGAGAATGAGAGAAAAAGGAAAAAAAAACAATTTCATTTCATTGATTTTAAATCATGTCTTTGGAATGGAGAGAATTTCATGAATGGCATGTGACATCGATTGAAAATTGGATGACACTTTTTTTTCCTTTCCTTTCGTTCTTCCTTTCTCTCTCGCTCGCCTTTCTGTTTCGGGGAATTTTTTTTGGCAATATTCAGCGTTAAAATGTTATAGCATAGCCGGATTATAATGGTGCAAAATTTAATGAACCAAAAAATGTCTTTAGTGATAAGATGCAGTCGGACAGAGAGAACAGCTTCGGTTGGTCGGAGTTCGGGTTATTTTGCCGTATGCTGGTTTTTACGTTGCCAATGGCATTCAAATGGCATTATTTGAAATTCAATGCGAGAATTTCTGGGATTTCTGTCAACATTGCAACGAACAAACATCGAACGCAAGCAAATTTACATCAAAACCACACACACGATTCAACATCATCAGCCTAATGCCAAATTGCATTTCCTTGATTTCTCACCATTTCTATCCATCGTTCTCCTTTGCTCTTTTCCTCCCCATCTCTCGATTCAATACTTTTTTTCCCGTTTACTTCATTAAACATCGAACATTTGAATCGTTCCCTTGACTGTCAAATTACTGCACTTTTTTGTCTGTCTGTGTGTGTGTGTGCATGATTTTAAACGCATTTTTGGTTGAATACCAAATTTTCGGATTACATTTTATGGTCGAGCACCGAAATCAAGCAATGATGAAACAATAGAACGATTCAAAATCGAATAAATAATACCGTATGGACCCAAGTGAAAATGCAATCCAATGAGCACTTCATTCAATTTAAGTGCATTTCCCAAGACTGCTGCACAAGGAATTTTTCTCGATCGTTTTCTGATTGCATTACATTC